CACCAAAAAATATCAAATGACAAATATGATCTGGAGTAAAATCATTTTCCTTGCAGATGGTACAGTCTAACTGCAAAAGTCATTTTCAAGGGAGTAAAGTCATTCCCTGCAGGTCTGGATGGTTTTCAGGAAAAAATAAAATTAGGATTTTTATATTGACCTAGAATACTTTGAAAGTCTCCAAAAGAGGTAGAGGATGGGTGGGGGATGTCAAGAGAGCAGAGGTGCCCAAACTAGGGCACAGAGCATGTCAAGAAAGAATAAGAGGTCCGGTACAGGCAGGCTGCAAGTTCCAGCTAACGAATTAGGACTTTAATTTGTATCTAGTGGAGCTGGTCCAAAATGTTAAGGAATGAAAAATGAAATCAATCTTGAGGAAGACTAATTCAGTAATAAATTTCAGAGAAACTAATTAGAAGGACACTAAAGGATATTCAATTAAGAGGTAATAGATTTAAAATCCTAAAAAGAGGCATCATGAAATAAAAAGTAGTCAATTTAATTTCCAGTTTTTAAAGCAGCTCTCAGATTTTGTGAGTGGGTAACCAAAAAATAATAGGACCAGGGCCAGGAATGTAGCTCAGTGGCACTGCACCTGCCCTGCAAGCACAAGGTCCTGAGTTAGATCCCCAGTACCAGAAAAAAAATAAATAAATAATAGGACCATTTTAGAAATGAGAAAGAGTTCAAGAGGAGCTCAAGGCCACTCGTAGCTTGGAGGGGGTTTACTTCACATGCCCAAGGAAAATGGAGGTCTGGGATTTCACTTTTTCTTCTTCTTCTTCTTGTTATTATCCTTGTGATGATGGGGGTGGAAATTCATTGGTGTTAGTCTCACAGGTAACATGTCATTAACTTTAATGTTAGTAGTTCCAGCCTTTCAGGCCTGGAAAGCCTTTGCTTGGATCTGTAGGGAATGCATGTGGGGAAGGGATCGATCGGGAGGAATGACACCAAATCCTGATAACAGATGTCATAAAGTCAGTAACAGTGACGTCAGCGGTTGTGGGAGAAGGCCTGGCGGCCACCCCAGAGGTCTTTCAGGGAGCTGGTGCCACCGCGTTATCCTGTATCTCAGTTTTGTCAGAGTACAGAGAAAGGACGACCACTAAATACACCAACAGGAGACTAACGTCTTATTTATAGTGAGTGATGGGACTGTCCATCATGTAGCCATTTCCCAGTTAAATGAGTCGTTACAAAGCTTCTCAATGAACACAGATATCCGGTTCGAGTGAAGGCTCAGGTGACACCCCTGCGTTACATTCGAGCTCTGTCTCTTCTTACTCAAATATTCAAGTCCACCATTTTGTCTTTCTCCCTTGGATAGGAGGAAAGACATTCATCAGAACTTGACCCTTATTTCTTTAATTATCTTTGTCACACACTAGTTGTGTGGTCCCCAAATGCCACGCCTGTCTGTGGAACACCAGGGGAGCTTGTTGATGTTAGAGCCAGGAGCCTCCCCCTCAGAGACTGACTCAAAGTATCCACAGTAAAGCTGAAGAACCCACAGTGCTGACCACTACCCCAATCCCCAGGGGTTCGGGAAGCCTGAGTGACTTTGCCCCAATGTGACTTAACAGGCAGGTAAGGCTATCCACCGCCACACCTAGTTTAGCAGCTCTACAGGTGCCTGTTTTATTTGTTTTCTATTATGCCAAAGATTTGTTTGAACACTGATTTTTCAGTTCCTTGACAAGAATTGGTCAATTGTTTATCTAAACTAAACTTGACCTTTTGATGAACTCTGTTTTTCTTCAACAAGGTCATAAAATAATTGTTTCAAAGCCCACCATTTAATCACAACCACAGACACTCATTTCTGTATTATTTATCGATCATCATCTATGTCCCTGGCACTGTGCTAAGTACTGTAGAGAGCAAGAGAAATAAGATCCCTGTAGTTATGTTGTGGTGCAATGGAAGGAGACAGAAATAAATGAAATATGTAAAATCTTTTCACATCGTGATTAGGGCCACGAGGAAAATCAGCAGGGTGCTCTGGCAGAGAATCTTGGGGTACGTAGCTGAGACAAGGTGGACAGAGAAAGCATTTCTAGCTAAAGGATGAGAAACCAGTTTTGGGGGCTGCTGATAGCCTCCTTGATGGTGTAGTGAACGCAGGAAGAGTATTGCAAAGCAGGAAATAACAAAGAGCCGGAAGGTGAGGCTTGGTGGACTGAGAGATGATGAAGGTGGAATAGGCCCCGTTGATACAGTGTAAGGTGGAGAATTCTTCTGTTAAAGGCCATGTGGCCAGAGGAGAGAATTGATTGGATGTCAGTCACTGTACATAGTAACAAGAGCTCAGAGGAAGAACCCAAGTTTGAGTTAGAAGCCAGAGTCTCCAGTGTGTGGAGTAAAGAGACCAGTGATAAACAGACTGTGTGGAAGCAAAACAGTAGGATGCATGCATCTCACAGAAGCAGCAGATTTTGCTGGAAGATGTCCTGAAAGCAGAGTACACTGCAAAGAAACAGTCCCTACCTTCTTGCCTAGGTTCAAGCGCTTCCAGGAAGTGAAATTTCCTTTACTTTCAAAAGTACAGGGGAAGCAAAGTAGGAGATGGGGGGTGGGGCTCATTTACAAGAAGTCATGGGAAACAAACATCCGGAAGTCCCTAAAGATTAAAGGGGAATTTGATGACTAGAGAAGCAGAAGGTCCACAGGGCATAGCTGCAAGGCTGTGTTTTTGTTTCCGTTCGTGGAGCAGAGGAGAGAATTGGCTAGAGTTACAGTGCAGAGACACACAAATTACAGTGTGGATAATAATGCACAGCTCAGGGAATCTTGAAATTCACTAGGTCACTGGAATAAAGTAGTGTTGCTACTACTACTAAAATGACATCAATAGCAATTATCATGTAACAGGTAGAACATGTGGTAACAGAAGAAGAAGTAGAAATAGAAACGTCATGGCAGATTTATTTCAGGCCTGTGCTAAGTACCTTGAAAAATACCTACTAAAAACCCTATGATCTTTCAAACTTACAATCAAGTTGTACATTATAGGTGACAACTTTATGGATTATAAATCATTGGTAAGTACAAAGAAGGATAGAAGGCTCTGACATCCTGGAAATCTCTACAGAAGACAGCACACAAATGGTTTTAAAGTTGAGACCCCCAGATGATGATTCAGCAGCATAAAATATTGAGGGAAGCTCTTTTATAGGACTATACAAGTCGATGTGTGGTGTTCAGGGGTTATTCACAAGGTCTGCTTGCACCAGCCCCTTAAAACTCAGCTGGACAAAAACTAGGAAGGACCATTTTTCCTAAAAGTGGGTCTAACCATAGGTTTATTCCTCTGCTTTTTCATTCAGTTAGCTAGAAAATTCTGTCATCCTTGAAGATGTAATGCTATTGATTCATTCATTCAACAAAATTTGAAAGCAACTATTAAAGGCCGTTCTAGACACTGGAGATATAAATTGTAGATTTTGAACTTTGTCCATCACATCCCCTACCTTCAGGCTGGTGGCACCATGTGTTACCCTCAGAGCGTATCATTTTTTTTTTTCCAGCAACATGCAGAAAATCCTGTACATTGATTTCCAGTCCAGTCTTCTCCACAGTCATCCTTCCTAAGTTTAAATGAGATCATCTTACCTCCTGCTCAGGGCTGTCCAAAGGATCCTTAGTTTACCCAGAGTAAAAGCCAAACTTGCTGTCAAACAACTTTTGTCCCAATCAGAGGATATCACATTGAAAGTCCCAATGTCTTTCTTCATCAGCCACAAGAGTTATAGGAAGGATGGATGTAGTCAGATAAAGAGTACATGTGAAGTGGGCTGACTCATCCTTCAAGCAAGCAAACTGAAATCTTTCTACTTTTGATAGAGTTTACATAGCAGAACATCAGCTAGACTTATATGGATTCCTTCATTATTTTTCTCTTGAGAAAAAGGAAAGGCCTCATACATGAATGAAGTTATATAATATTATGACTATACTTCATAAACTACTATGATAAATGACTTTAGAAATGTAAAACATTTTCCAAGGGGGAAAATATATCACTTTTTGCAAATTCCTAGAAAACTGATCATCAGGATTTGATGATTAGTCTTACCATAATTTTTAAATTGTAATTTATGACTGAACTACTCTGTGCATTAAACTGTGCCAACCAAAACAAGAAAAATTTCGGCCCAAATACATTTCTTATTACACTCAGATACACTAACTAAATCAGCACTTGAAAATAATACTTTCACTAATAGCTCAAGAATCACTTATCAGAGGCCAATCAATCCTCCAACTGCCTAGAAAGAGGGACAGCAAGGGCTAAAGAAAAAAAGACAATAGACACTTACTTGCATAGCCACTATTTATTGGGTTCATAGGGAGTATCAGATGACTAAGAGGGCAGGGTAATCCTATGATGAGGAGGATCTTATGCTGATGAGGATCTTAGGTCAAGGAGGAGCTTATGTTGATTAGCACAGTGAGATGAGCAAAACATTGTTACAGAAGGTGGGATGAGTTAAACTGATAAGGAATTTGCCCCTTCCCAGGAGAAACCTTTCTCTTTTTGTGTTACTACTAGATTCTTAAAGAACCAGGAGGTCTTCAGCTGATGTACTTGCCCTTGAGCGTCACAGCATCATGGGACCACTGAGGCCCAAGAGAGCCCTAATCATAATTTAATTGTGATGTTATTTTTTCCCCCAAAAAATAGTAGAGTGGCTCCCAACAATCACTGACACACAGAATTATTACATTTAATCACATTGCAGGCAAAGTCAGGATGAAAATACAGGGCTTTTTCCTCTCCATCCTGTAGGTACCATTTTTGGTTTTTCATTGTTATAATTTCTGTGAAGATGCTTACTACAAAATGATATTCACCATGGCTTGCTAAACTGTTTCTGGCAGCTTACACAAAGTATGGTATCCTCACTAGTATTTTTAAACAAGTATGTTAAGTTTCTTATTTACTATACTCACATTTGTGAATGTGCTTCCAACATTTCTCCTTTCTATTTTAACAGAACACCAAGTTTCACATGCCTGAAGATCAGAAGGAAAAAAGGGAAAATCTACTCAACTCTGAGAGACCTACTAGGGATTTAACAAAGATCAGCCTTTCACAAGCAGAGGATCAAGCTTTGAGTAAAGTCACAGGGTCATCAATAAGTAAACTGGTTGAAAAACATCAAGGAACTAAAATTCTCTCCATGAAGTCCAGTGAAATGAATTGGCCATTGGACATTCGGCCTTTAAATAAAAGTTTAGTCAAAGACAACAAATGGAAAAAAACTGATGAAACCCAAGAGAAACGTAGGTCCTTCCTTCAGGAGTTTTGCAGGAAATACGGTGCAGTGAGCCATCGTCAGTCACATCTGTTTCATGTGGTTTCCAGGATCTATGTAGAAGACAAACACAAAATCTTATACTGTGAAGTGCCAAAGGCTGGGTGTTCCAACTGGAAAAGGGTTCTGATGGTACTAAATGGGTTGGCTTCCTCTGCATACAACATCTCCCACGATGCTGTCCACTATGGAAAGCATTTGAAAAAGCTAGATAGCTTTGACCTAAAAGAGATATACACTCGCTTAAATACCTACACCAAAGCTGTGTTTGTTCGTGACCCCATGGAAAGATTAGTGTCAGCATTTCGGGACAAATTCGAACACCCCAATAGTTACTATCATCCAGTATTTGGAAAAGCAATTATAAAGAAATATCGGCCAAATGCCTGTGAAGAAACATTGAATAATGGATCTGGAGTCAAATTCAAAGAGTTCATCCACTATTTGCTGGATGCTCACCGACCCGTTGGAATGGACATTCACTGGGAAAAGGTCAGCAAACTCTGCTATCCATGTTTGATCAACTATGATTTTGTAGGGAAATTTGAAACTTTGGAAGAAGATGCCAATTACTTTCTACAGATGATTGGTGCTCCAAAAGAGCTGAAATTCCCAAATTTTAAGGATAGGCACTCTTCTGATGAAAGAACCAATGCTCAAGTGGTGAAGCATTATTTAAAGGATCTGAGTAGAACTGAGAAACAGTTAATCTATGACTTTTATTACTTGGACTATTTGATGTTTAATTATACAACTCCATTTTTGTAGTCGGCATTCATTTTCTAAAACCTGTATTTACTTAATAATGTTGGCCTCAAATCAGCTACTGTACTTTTCCTATAATTCTCTGTATGGAGGAAATTTAACTAAGTGCAGCTGTCTTGATTTAATGACAATTTTTACCAAATACCATGACTCCAATTGACACAAAGATATAGGAAAATCACCCAGCTGATGCATGTAAACAACTTGAGTTGCTTTAAATATCTGGAAAGGAGCTGCTTTGGTATTATGGATCATATTGTTGAAACAATAACCTAGCCAGTTGCTAAATTAACTAAAATAGCCTCTTGTAATCATAGAATAAGTGGTCTAAAAGAGCATGAATGTGTATCTATACTCTGGAATTAATTATCTAAAATGCATGAATATATTTTTAGCAGCTTGTGGAATATTAATCAAACCATTGGACAGTTTTTTTACACCCTGGAAGCCTTTCTATTGACTATAATGATAAACCATTTTTAAATGATATTTGGAATTGGGCATTTTACATTAAGTTGGAAGGCATTGTGTGATTTACAATATGAGAGCATAGCAGAAAAACAAAAAGAGGCTATGATTTTTTTATACTTAACAGCCAATAAAAAATACACAGCATACTAAGATCAAAACAACAAAGGCAACCTTTCTCTCTCCCAAAAACTTAAAGGGATTGATTCTGTTTTCTTATGAACCCTCCATGAAGAGACAAAATGAGCACAACTACTAAAGGTCTTCATTTCTGAAGCAAGCAGTTGAGAGGTTTAAGCCTCTAAATGTGCTCCTAATTCTGGCTTAATTGGACAGAGGGGAAATTGTTCCAGGATGGAGTAATCATCAAAAACCAAAGTTGCCATTCTGAATATAGACCTCTAACAATAACAAAGTTTTATAAGAAAATTCTTTGAATCAAAGCATAATGTGCATTGCTTTATATGTGGAATATGCTCTAAGAATAGCTTTTGTTTGCAGTCTAATTATTCAGCTTGGGAATGACTTTTTAAAAACTAATATACCACTTCAAAGATAGGTTATGTTCTGGAGAATAAACAAAACAAGAGCCCCTAGAAATGTTTTTTAATAGGCTTATGCATAAGCAAATTAAGGTATTTTCTTTTTAAGTTTAAATATACTAACAAAGTCAAAAATCATTGCATTCAAATATTAAATCAAAGTGTTTGGAAAATAAGACCATGTGTCACCCCACGAAAAGACATAATGCATTTTGGAAATTTTTTCCAAGGGATCTTAAACTGAAAGACACATTTAGATTGGAAATTTATTTTAATTCCTCAACTATTACCCTAACTTAGTAAACCACAGGTCAATCAAACCCAGTTTAAATTCCTTTCTTGAACATTTTCCTTTTCCTAAGGTACATATTAATAGATGAAAATTTTTATAGTCATACCTATTTCACTTTTATTTTCCATCTCATGGCTGAGTATTCATGGATTGTTTCACTCTACACACACTTGCATGGTCTTGCCTGTGCCTCCTAAGGAGTAAACAGACTGCAAAAAGCTAAGTAATCACAAGTACTGACCCTTGTAACCAACCTTTTACTGCGTTCCCGCTCCATTCACTTTTGCTCCTAGACCATACTCATAAGTTATGTTTTACTTTAGAGTAATCTAATTTATATAAATAAATACTTTGCCATACTATGTGGAGTGGAATCCTAGCAACTTAGAGACACTGAGTTTTGGGTTTTTTTGGGGGGGGGGGCGGTACTGGGGATCGAACTCGGGTCCTTGTGCTTGTGCAGCAGGCAGTGAAACCACTGAGCTAAATCCCAGCAGTGAGCTTTTTTTATGGAGAGAGAATATAAAATATCCCATGAAACATGAAAGTTTATTCCTAAACACAAAGCTGGTTTTAGATAGAATCTACTGCAAAAGATAAAGACAATTTTATTGAAAATATTCCTAAAATCACGAAGAATCAAACAAAGCATAAACCTTCCTTTCATACCTTTGGAAAGAAAAAAATGAAAGCAAAGGTCCTGTGTCTCTTCCTAACATTTTAATGCATTAGGGAGGGTGGGATGTAGATATATAGATATATATGACTTTGACAATGGAAGAGTGAAAGGGAAAGTTATACTCAGTGCTTCCCCTTATCTGTGGTTTCACTTTCCACAGTTTCTGTTACCCGTGGTAAACCATGTCTGAAAAAGACTAAATGGAAAAATCTAGAAATAAACAACTCATAATTTTTCAATTGTACACCCCCCTGAGCATGAAAATCTCTCACCTACTCACTCCACCTCACCTGAAACAGGAATCACCCCTTTGTCCAACGTGTGCATGCTGTATATGCTACCTGCCCACTGGTCACTTAGTAGCTGTTGGAGCTACCATTTTGATTGTCACAGTATCACAGTGCTTCTGTTTAAGTAACCTTTCTGTAATAGCCTAAGGCAACGTCACAATGCCTGTGTCACTCAGCTCACATCATCTTATACAGGCATTGTGTCATCTCACATCACCAGTGAGTATAGTACTGCAAGATACTTTGAAAGAACACATTCACATACTTCTCACTATAATGTTTTGTCATAATTGTTCCATTTTAGTAGTAGTTATTGTTGTTGTTAGTTTGCCTACTTTATAAATTTTATCATAGGTATTGCTTCTTGGCCTTTTGGCTAAGATCAAGTGTAAATTTTATCATAGGTATATAAGTATAGGAAAAAACGTAGTCTATATAGCTAGGTATGACCCATGGTTTCTGCCATGTCCTGGGAAACATGTAACATATCTCCTATAAATGAGGAGACAACTCTATATGCTTCTTTTCTGACCCTTTTAATTGAGCCTATGTAACTATGGATGGTCCTTCATTCATTCTTTTCCTAAACAGACTCTCTGAAGCTGGTCGATATCCTGCTTGAGTGTTCCAGAGAGTAGGTGTGGTTTGCCAAAGAAAAACAAACTGCTCATGTACTTGCGCTTCATTTTAGATTACTTCTTTTTATATTACTCCCAAAGACTCTAATCATCACCTTAGATTTCTTGTGATTTGAAATCCCCCGAACTATTCTGCTTTGTAGCCAGCTTACATTTGCCTGTGTATAAATCCACCTGGGAGTATCACTCTTCCTTTGGACAGTCACAATTTTATGAACTTAGTTTCTAAAGGCAACTGACCAAATCCAGACTCATCTTCCAGATGTTCAATGTTCCCATTTTAGTATGAGCATGCTTTAAGAGTGATTATACACCCTCTAATTAAACCCTAAGGATCCTATTTGTTTTTATAGGCAGCAGTAACACTATGGGCAGGCCCTTCATTCTGTTATTCCCCTGTCTGGAATTACCATTAAGGTAACAAGTTCACAATTAAATCCAGAACCACAATTATTTAATCTGGCAAGCTACCTATGGGTATGCATTATTGATGTGACTGCACCCAAAAACTGTCAAAACTTTCAATAGATGTGTATGAACAGGATGCCCAATTTTCTTATTTCCTCATATGTTTGGAAATATCTTTTAAGTCAACAGACTTGGGAAACCACATGCCGTATTTGCTGACTTTATAGTCTATAAAATATTTTCTAGCAATTCTAAAATTATGGGGCTGCCCTTTATAATTGGAAGGAGAAATATACTCATACTTTTTTCATGAATAATTATTTTTCTAAAAGGTGCTATCTCCTAAAATATATAGTGTCTTAGTCATTTTCTTCATCACTGAAACAAAATACCCAACGCCTGCAACTTAAAGGAGGACAGGTTTATTTTGCCTCATGTGTCAGTCCATAGTCGGCTGGCTCCAAAGCAAGACAGCATGGCAGAGGGGCATGGTAAAGGGATAGCTGTTCATGTCATGATGGTGAGGAAGCAGAGAGGTCAAGGGAGGAGCCAGGAGTGGAGGAGATAGACCCTTCTAGGCCACACCCACAGTGACCCACTCTTCCAACTAGATCATGCTGCCAAACAGGTCAGCTATCTACACCCCTCCTAATCTAGTCACCTTTCAAAAGGTCTACCTATGAGTATGTGAGGCTTTGGGGAAGCTTTACCTCTAAGCCATAGCACAGGAACATGTATAAGCAGATGTAGATAATTTTGAATATTAGAGTTCCCTCTAAAAAGATTTCCCGCTGAGCTAGCAAATTTGGGATTAGCAGACCGGGGCCACAGTAAACAATTCCCTGCTGGGAGTTCTTCTTTGGCCTCTTGGGCATCTTCAGCCTTTAAGCCTTCATAGGAGATGGAGAGCAGGACCTCTGCCCATTGCACACCCAGTGTGTCCTCCTATTTAAAGAAACGTTGGCCAAAGGTGTTCAGTAGTCCCTCAACCACCTGAAAACTTTAGACCAGAGTTAGTCTAATCCTACGTTTAGGACCATATCTTCTTGATCTCCATCGTAATCATTATAATCATATTCCTACTTAGCTCACATCTATTCAATACTTAATGTGTACCAGGTACACTTTAAGAGCTGTCTCTACATTAATCTACTTACTATCCATGCCCTATCTCAATGAGGTACTATTACAAGCAGCCCCCCTCCATTCGCAGATATAATAAAGGAAATTAAAGCAAGCGTAACTATGTAACTTGGCAAAAGAGGCACAGGTGGCAGGTAGGTGGGAGCGGAATGAAATCAAGCAGCAAATACCTCTACCAAGCTATTGTCTTAAAATGCTATCTATTTGAATATTTATGTTTGCTTTCTCTTACCAATACTCAGAACAGCTACAGGTAAAAACTACACATTGCAATCTCAGATTTTTTTTTACAAGTATAAATGTGTGTATGCAGCTAGTTATTAAAATTAAAATCAGTTTTATACTTTTACTCCCACTGAGTCAAACTGGCACATTCAAAGATGTTTGAAGAAGTTAGTCTTCCTTCCTCTCCACATTTTTTTAGTCACTGTTGATTATGAGATGCAGTATTTTGTTTTTTGTTTTATGAGATGCAGTATTTTTAAGAAAATTTAAAAGTCCCTGGAACAAATTTTGCCTAACAAAAACAAAATATCATTTTCACAAGAAATTCCAGACAAAAGTAGTCAAGATCCAAAGGAGGCACCTGAGAGACAGAAAGCCAGGAACTTTCCACTGGTAGCCACTTGACAATCACCGAGGAGGGTCAGGGCTCAACAGCTGAGTTGCAACAAAACCTGTAGGACTGCTGTGGGGCAATAAGCAACTGTCCATTGTCTCTTCTTCCTGAGTTCTCCTCCCCAGAGACAGACTGGTAGTCAGATAAGCCTAAACTGACTCGGGACTACAACAGAGAGCATGTTGACTGTTACCAACTGGAAACGTCATGAAGAAGGGTCAAGATACATAGGCACTGGGTGAGGGTGGGAGGGGGCTTTTCCTAAACTTGGAGGACGGACACGCCCTCTGAGGAAGGCCGAGGCTAAGGACTTCCCCAGAATATGGCCGCACACCATTCAGTTCTGAGAATGCCCGGCCCCTCTCGTCACAATTGTTCCCCTAGACCATACCCTTCCATGCTAATGTATTTAAACCCATCTACACTGTCATCTTTGTTCATCTCTAAGACTCCTCAGGTCTTACACTGCATATGGAGCTCTCTCCTCTCTGTGCATCTGAACATTTCTCATGTTCTCTCACCAAGGAATCTCTTCAAGTTTTTCAACTCTGAAATCTCATTTCTTCTTGAGCAATCTGATGAAAGGGGAAAAAAGCAAAATTATTTTCCCCTCGTATGACATATATCAGACTCTTCTCTTACAAATAAATTCAAGCACGTCATTTGTCCCACCTCCCATGAATATAAACTTTCCATTGTTTTTGAAGGACACTTTCATTCTCCAAGAGGACAAGGACTGTGTCTCTGATTCACCTTGTACTGTATCCAGCAGAACACGGAATAGAGAGCTGCTCCAACAAATGCCTGTGAGGCTGAAGTTAAAGATTTTATTTCTTCAGAAATGTTTCTTCCTCATGTTTCAGACTTCTGTAGGACCAATGGATCTAAAGAGAAGACACAAGCCCAGGCAAGCAAGGGGAGAGATCTTAGTCATACGCCTTTCCTACACTAACAAACACACCTTAGCCTGAAGGATAGTTCAGGAAATGGCAATGTTCTGTTGTTCTAAAATGATGCATTTGTTTATTTTTGGAAGAAAATGATTGAAAACTACAGAATTCTGGTCACTATAAGAGCCATTTACTGGCTCTGGTAAGGTAGCAGACACTGGAGAAGTACTTCATACACATCCATTTAAGTACGTGAAAAGCAAGCTTACTGCTTTGTGGAGGAGAAGAGAAAAGAGGAGAAGGAAAGAAAGAGGAAGAAGAGGGAGGAGGATAAAGAGGAGAACAAGAACAAAAACAAGATGTGCGCTTAGGCAGCACATATACAAAAACAAGAATAAGAAGGGGGGAGGGAAAAGGGGAAGGGAAGAAAAGGTGGAGGAGGAAGAGGAGGAGGAGGGGGAGGAGGAGGAAAAGAAGGGGAAAGTGAGCTGTTATTGCACCCATCAGTTTCTGAAAGAAAAAACAGTGTCAGAGCCAGAATCCAGGCAAAGTCTGTGGCTCCACAGCAGCGACCACACACCAGCAGCCCCTGGGCCAGACCTGGACACAGATTTGGTTTGGCCTACAGGACATTTTACTTAACATTTGTTAGTTGCTAACATTTTTCAATTGGAAGCCTCACCTGGCAATGGTGGCACACGCCTGCAACCCCAGCACTCTGGGTGGCTGAGGCTGGAGGATCATGAGTTCCAGCCCAGCTCGGGCAATTGAGAGACTTCGTAAGACCCTGTCTTAAAATACAAAATTTTGAAAGGGCTGAGAATGTAGCTCAGTAGAAGGCTGTGGGTTCAATCCCCAGAAATAAATGAATAAATAAATTTGGAACTGTTTCATTAAAGCAGAGGATTTATTACCCACATCCTAGATTCCCATTTGAAGAGCAAGGGTTGGCTGGAAGCAAGGTTGCCCAGAGATCTCTCATTTTTCTCACTCCACCAACCTACCATAGGTCATTTGCTTTACTTGCCTGGCCCCTAAACATCTCCCTTTTCAACCCCTGCTCTGAAGGATATGTTCTTACATCCACCAAGCTTCCAAACAAAATGGGGTAACTGAACACTTTCATGACTGCATTTGCATTGTGTAATTGTGTAATACTGTATTTGCATGGTGTGTTGGTGTCTGAGTTTCTTCCTTACCCAGAATGCTTTTGGCCCTTCTGTGTAATATGCAGTAGGATGCCCCACAACATGTCACTGTTTGAGGAAGCCTTTTGACCGCTGACAAAGTCAGTGGGAAAACTGCAGTACCTTTCTTCGGCATCTTTCTGTTTTAGCCACCAATGCTCTGGTAACAACATTCCTCCCACCCCCTTGGCAGAGATGAGCTTTGCTCCTGTGCTCTTGGCTTCTCGGGGTTTGGCGACAGACACTGGCTCCCATTTCTACCTTCACACTGCTATTCTACATCCTTCTCTCAGAATCTCTTCCTGTTTAGAGGGTGCCCATGTCTCTACTCTGAACATTGCCTATTTCACCTTTTTCTCTGAAAATTCCCTTATTTGGCTTATGAATACCTTCCTACCTTTATTTCTGCCATTATCAAGCTGGCTTCAGCCTTGCCTGTGGCATTCCACTACCTTTCCTCTTCCTCTTCCCATTTTAACTCTCAGAAACAGCCTGCGCAAGAAGGGATCACCATGGGCCTTGTCCAAAGATGGCAGAAAACCTGTGGTAAATTACATAGGACATTATTTCATCCATTCATTGGCTCAAAATATTTCCAAAGTTTAAAACATGCTTTTCAGATATATTATCAATGGACACATACTCAGAATGCAAGAATATCAACTTAATAATATTATTAGGTTGATTTTAATTATCCTTAGGAAAAAATAACGCCTGATGTAATGTATCAATTCTTCAAAAAATAATGCATGGACTATTTATATTGCAATTAGGTTAATTTTTGTTAAAAACAGAATCCTGGAATCCACTCAAATGTACTGAATCAAAATCACTATGAAACCTACTTAGAAATTTCCTTTTAAAATACAGTACTCCCCAGAGTGATTCCTAAATACAGCAAAGTCTGAGCCTCACTATGTGTGCATGTTTTTTTCTTAAAGTCCTGGTCATTTATGTGTGATAAATAAAGCCTGATCTTTTCATTCTGCTATTTTGTTGAAAAGTTAAAGACTTTCAATTCAGAGATGGGTCAGTGAGTATTGGTACCAAAGTCCTCTGTGGGATTTTGACCAGTACTGAAGCAGAAAGTTGTCATCTGATGTCTGCCAACTGCAAGAATCAGTGCTGAAATGATGAAGTGAGTTATGGGGACAGTGCTGGGCAATGCCCAGACTTTTTTAAACTTTCAGAATGAAATGGGGAAATGACAACGTTCCCGTTTGAACACAAAAGACAAATGTGTACTAAAGGCAATTTTGGCAACTCAACTTCACACTGAAAAAAGTGAAGAGAATATGAGTTTCTCCAATAAAAAATAAAAAGCTGTTTTCAAATTGACTTAAGATGATTGAAAATGGAAAATATTTGCTATTTGGGTTATTAGTTTGAGAGCAATTGCCCCAGGAAATATTTTGCAATTTAACTTAAATGGTAAGAATGCACATTTTCTTGGACTTCATTAAAGAATTTGTCTCCCCTTGCCTTTCTATTAGATCGAACCATATGACATGGCTAATGTTTGACCAGCTCTGACACACAAACACAGCCCTTTCATATGGTTCTGCTAATAGTTCTGCTGATGCCTACTCAATTCTAGGCACATCAGCTCTCACCTGAACTATTGGAGATAATCCCTGAAAATAAGCTCTGCTGTTTTTTTTTTAAGCTTTGAAAATCCTCATTTTCCCTTCTTCTTCCTTTTTTATTTTTAATTTTCATAAAATACACATAACATAAAAATTATCACCTTGCCATTGGTAAGCATAGAAGTCAGTGGCATTAAGTACAGTCAAACTGTTATGTAACCATCACTGCCATCCATATGTGTGAGTCGGCTTCTCACTGCTACAACAAATACCTGAGATAGTCAGCTTCTAAAAGGACAAGAGCTGTTTTGGTTCACAGTTTTGGAGGTTTCTATCCATGACTGATTGGTCCCACTGCTTTGGGGCCCATGGTAAGCCAGCAGGTCACAGCAGCAGTTCATAGCAAAACAGCTCACCTCATGGCCAGGCTGCAAACCAGAGCAGAAGAGGAAGGAGGTGAGGTCCGAGGATGGCTCCAAGCCTCCCACGAAGTTCTACTCTTAAAGTTCCCACCATCTCCTGATCACACCAAGCTGGGAACTACGACCCTCACATGTAGACCATTGGAGGACAACTAAGATCCCAACTACAGCACCATCCACAAACACTTTTCATCTTGAAAAATTGAAATCCTGAACCCATTCAACAATGGCTCCACTTGTTCTCCTCCCACAGTCCATGGCAACCATTGTCCTACTTTCTGTCTCTATGAATTTGGCTACCTTAAGTATCTCATATAAGTGGATTCATAGAGTATTCGTCCTTCTATCTGAGTTATTTTATTTAGCATGATGTTCACAGGGTTCGTAAATGTTGTAGCATGTGTCAGAATTTCCTTCCTTTCTAAGGGTGAACAATACTTCATTCATACATAATTTCTCCCTATAATGCATTCTGCATACTTTGAAAATAGACATCCTGTGACATTATTCACCTCCCACCATGGACCTTTTGCAAAGCTTCCTACTGCCTGGCCTCTAAGCTCTCAAAAGTAGAACCACTTCCCAGCCCAATGATCCAATCCATACATAAAACCCACTCTTATCCAACCAAATGGAATTAGTACATTTTCTGAACACACCTCTTATCATTTCCCCTATTTTCTCCATGCCACTTAGACTGCCTGCAATGTCATTTTCTCCTCTCTCTTTAAGGAATTTCTCATGATCCTGCACCAGTGACCTCACTCAGCTTGCCTCACCCACTCTGCCTGGAGAATCTCTTCCATTCTCTCTACTGTCACTCCACCTTTAGGTTGATGGTGCCCAAATCTCTTTCTAGACAGCATGTCCATGACTTTGACTCAGATTCCCAAAATCTTGCTTCCCTGAATGTCACATTGGCCCTTCTAACCCATCATGACCAAACTTGATTTTTCCTTATTTGGTGGCAATGTCATCCACCTACCTCACCCTCCTGAGTCAGGGGATCACAGGAGTTCATCCAGCCTCCTTCCTACGCTGGCTTCCCACAGCCAAAGACTTAGTAAGTTATGCTGGTTGCTTGAATGAACAGAGCTCTGGGTTTCTTCCTCTTTCATAACATATCAGTGAATGCTAGACTAAAAAAGATTACATAAGAGCTATTCTGACAGAATATATTTAAAGCTGATTTTTTCATCTAGGTGTGGTGGTACATGCCTGTAATCCCAGCTTTCCGGGAGGCTGAGGCAGGGGAGGCTGAGGCAGGAGAATCGCAAGTTTGAGCCCGGGGCAAATTAGAGATGAAACACAATCTTGTCTCAAAATTTTTTTAAAAAGAGTTGGGAACGTAGCTTGGTGTAAAGGCCCTGAGTTCAAACCCTAGTACTGCAAACTAAAAGAAAAGAAAAACTTCTTAAATACTACATTATGGACAACAGTGATAGATTTGTTCTATAGCAGAAAAGATTACAAAAAACTTCAAAAGTGCCCTCTGTGTTGACCAAAAGGACTAACTTGTCTAACTTAGGAATGAGGCCGTGGAACTTGCCCAGAATTGAAATGAGCAAGGGTGGTCCTGAGAACAAAATTCTCAGTTCCCACTGTTGGTCAGTGTTTCATCCAGATCGAAAGCTCTAGGTTGCTGAATTCTTGAAAAGCCATATTCATTTCTGGCATGAAGCTCATGTGACAGGTATCAGTCACATTTTTGTAGCCTTCTAGGCATTTCTTGCCTGTAGAGATTCTGCCATGCTCACTTGCTCATATAATCTGCTGAACCTCAGTACACTCCTTGCCATTAAACTTAACAAGACTCAACATGACTAATACTTCATACTCATGGCAATAGACAAGCCCATAATGCTCCACTAACTCAACTTTCATGAAGTCTATAAAATCCTTCAGTTTCTTATTTTCCATTCATCCACTTGGCAAACATGAACTACATGTTATTGTTTACTCTGCATGTTTCTATGCACTATCACCAAGCCCCATTGTCTCATAAGTGGACTTCCTCTCAGTATCCTACACAGGGCAGCTTTGGGAGAAGAGGTGGAACATTGGCCTAATGCTCCCTTGGTCATAAAGATCTGTGTGCTTGTTGGTGGCTCCTCTGCAGAGTAAACCACAAAGGCATCACCCACAACATGAGTGACCTTGGAAGCAGCCAGGATAGATTCTCAGAAGTCACTGCTATCTTTTCCCAGCACTGCCACTCCTGCTGTGTCTTAGGGTTGGCAGAATTCTCACACTGGTCCCATTAGACATGATGTTAAGGCCATTGTAACAGGAAAAGCCAGGTGGAATCCACCAAAACTACTTTCACCCCTAGCCACAGAGCTGAATCAGCAGCCCTACTGCACCCCAGGAATGGCTTTAGAGTGGGCCTCAGACTTCGATGATGCCACAGTGATGCTCCCAATCATACCCCTATTCTGAACCATGTGTCAGTTGGCCAGACCTAGAGTCTTTGTACAACAGATGAACACAATCTCTGACAGCAGGTTTGTGGATTTGTTCAGCAACAGCAAAGATCAAACACAGATCAGCTTCACAGTGAAGAGAGACTATTCACTGTCTTGCTCCAGGGTTATGTAAATTCTGCTGTCTTTTGTTGAAGTATGGTCCATAGGGATCTTGACTAACTTAACATTCTGAAAGACATCACACTGGCTCACAATGTGGATAACACCAAGTTAATTTGCCCTGTAGAACAGGAAATGGAATATGCCCCAGATAACCCAGGAAGATACACCAAAGATAGCCAAAGAGTGAGAGAGAGCCCTTGAACATTCAGGAGTCTGCCATATCAGTGAAGGGTGTCTGGAAGGTACAAGGCATTCCTCCTATGGTAAATGATGAGTTGTTGAACTTTGCATCTGCTACCACCAAGGAAGAGACTTGGTTCTTGGAGGGCCTCATTGGATTTTAGAGATAGTAAATACTGCACATGGGAGAACTGGTCTAACCTATGTTAACTCAAAAAAAAAAAAAAAAAAAAAGGTGGCAAACGCATTTGAAGTCCAGACCAAGAGAAGACTGCATCTAGTTCAGGCTGAAATGTAAACCACTGTGCTACTTGATCATTTGACCAAGTGTATAAGTCAGCTTTCCATCACTGTACAAAATACCTAGGGTAATCAATTTGAAAAGAGAGAAAGCTTATTTTGGCTCACAGTTGTGGAGGTTTCAGTCCATGGTCAGTTGGCTCATTGCTTTGGGGCATGTGGCAAGCAGTACAAGATGGAAACACATGGCAGAGCAAGCTGCTTGCCTCATCAGGTATCTAATTAAAATTGTACCTAACCATAGGGTATCAAGTCCCTCTACAATTAGAGCTTCCCATTAAGAAAGAAGTATTACTACCAAATCATGAGGTCACCTGTGCACAGCAGTAATCTATCCTACAACAGAAATATCATATGTACAGCTGCTGTTCCAGAACATGTAAGCTACTTCAGTAGATGATTAATAAGTGGCTGGTATACCAGTGTCACCTGACTCTCCTGCATAAATAACTCTCCATCAACTTGGACATTTGGTTTGAAGGGGGGTTCCCTAAGAAAAATTGAGAGAGGTGGAAACTACCAAGGCCTGGTTCACAGATAAGTTAATGTGATATGTTGGCTTTAGTCAACAATATACTGCAGCCTCATTACAGCCTCCCGAGAGTGGCTCTAAAGGAAAGTGGTGCAGGGAATTCCTAGATGAAACCAAAGCTGTGAGAAAATGCATTTGGTTGTCATGCAGAGGGAAAGTATTCTGAGAAACAGATATGTGACAGTCCCTGGGCAAAAACCAGTGTGTGGTTTTTTGGGGGTTTTTAAGGCTTATAAAAATAAGGTTGAAAAATTAAGGGAAAAAAGCAGTGGAAGAAGTACGTGAATGGATCTATGGCAATGAGCACAAAGAGTGCAGATCTTTGAGTATCAAGAGCATCCACCCCAAGGAAAGCTCTCAATAACCACATGGACAGGAAGGCTGTTTGTTTATCCCCCAGCTCTGCATCCCTCTGGTGCAATGGACCCATGAACAGAGTGGCCACAGTAACAGAAATGGAGGCAATGCACAGATCCAATAACACAGATTGTTGTAGTTTGTATGAGTGTCCCCTAAAGGTCCACATGTTAAAGCCTTGATCTCCAGAGTGGCACTATTGGGAGGGCCGGGAATCTTTAAAGGGACCAGCAGGAGGTTCTTATATTAGAGATGTCCCAGGCACTTTCCGTTGCTGAG